AGAACACAGAACTAACCACTTTGCTCAGGGTGCTTCTCTGAAGCTGATATTGACTTAGGATAATCAAATCAAGGATGGTCCAACGGTGGGGCATGTAGCATGCACGGGGAGACCTCAGATGAGTACATTTTCGTCAGAAAATCCATAGGAATAATAACATTTAGGGGAACTACGGAAGATAATATTAAAAATGATGTTAAAATAGTGCCTGAAAGTCTGGATTTCATGAGACTCAATATAAGGTCCAGTGGTGGGATCTTATAAACACGGTAAAGAACCTTTCGATTCTCTAAGGTTGGAGGCTTTTCTTGACTAATTAACCGATCGTCAGCTTATCAAGAATACCTTGCTCTGTGAACTTGGTTAATTGATATTCTTATGGTCAAATCTGTCGTTGTTGCACCGTAAAAGACAAGACGTTGTATAGGTTACAGCTAAAAGGACCCCACATTTCTGTGTTTCTAAGTCCTTGTAACAGTACCATAATGGAGACATTGCTTTAAGAATTACTTGTGCATTAGATAAAAGCTGTGTACTATTTCAACATGAGACATTTTCGCCATTGCACAAGCCATCCAATGTCAACAGACTTAATTTAAATAGTGCAATTATTCATTTGGCCTTACGTGTCCAACACACGCACGGACACTTAGCGGATGCAGCAGGACACCCAGACATGTAACGAACAAACTCCGTGGCTTTAGTCCGCAAGCGAACTATACCGATCGAGCGACCTCCGCTTGACGGCGAAGTTAGTGCCAACTTTAACAAGCAGAAGAAACATAACAGTCAGAAGATACAACAAATACGAGAAACAATTTTACTGATAATTTTTAAACTTCTACAATTTTAACTTACTGTTACGTGTTAGTGGTTCTAGCTCCTTCCTTAGGTGGATGCAAAGGATACCTGTTGTGTGAAGGCAGTTACCTGCAACAGGTCAGTATTGTCAGCAATATCTAAGGACACAGACGGAGCCAATCGCTTTCTCCTATCCACTAGTATACAAGATAATTTATTATGATCTTGAAAAATATCGAGATACAGATTTTGACGGATTTACACGGTTTCAGCATCCATGAATGCAAAAAAAGAGAGAGTGGTCTTTGAGATGCAGTCTATCTGTCTGCCCGTTTGTCTATATGTATGTAATGTATTTATGCATGTAATGAAAATTTCGAGACAACCAACCCCAGTCACAATAAAGATAGACCAAAAACAACTGGAGAATGTGAAATGTTTTAAATATTTGGGTAGCTTCTTAACAGAGGATGGAAGGTGTACGTGTGAAATTAAATCCAGGATTGCCATGGCAAAAGCTGCATTTAGCAAGAAGAATCTTTTTACCAGCAAATTGAACTTAAATTTGAGAAAGAAATTAGTGAAATGCTACATTTGGAGCATAGCTTTGTATGGGGCTGATACTTGAACACTTAGGGCAGTAGATCAGAAACACATGGAAAGCTTCGAAATGTGGTGTTGGAGAAGGATGGAGAAGATCAGTTGGACCGATTATGCTAGAAATGAAGATGTGTTATTTAGAGTCAGTGAGCAGAGGAATATCCTACACGAAATAAGAAAACGGAAGGCTAATTGGATTGGTCATATCTTACGCGGTAACTGCCTTCTAAAAGAAGTTATTGAAGGAAAGATTGTATGTATGTATGTATGTTTATATATGTATATATGTATGTACGAGTATGTACATGTGCCCCACTAACGCCTAAACAGTGGACGGATTTTGAGTACGTTTAGTATTTAAGAATTCATTCAGTCTAGATCGGTGCTCCAATAATAGGGGCCTTTCACATGAGCTCCCTGACATAAAATTGAGTTTTTCACGAAAACGGTTCTAACGATTATGATTGAATTTTGATAATTTATGGAGACCACCTCCCGAAATAAATTTATGTAGTAAGTGTCTTACAGAAAATGAAGGCGCATCCTCTATGTATGTTATATCATGAGCAATGACTATGCAACGATTATTGTTTCAGACCATGAGGAGATTTTACTAAGAGTGTGCTGAATAATAGCATGAAGTAATTTTGTTCTGGATGTCCGATCTGTACGAAGGAACACGCGGGAAGATCGGCAGAAATGCATTTCCTCAAAGTGGTCCCAGAATACAGAATGACAGATCATAAAATTGTTGTTTTAGAAAAGTTAGAGATTACATGTGAGTACATCAATGATCACCTATCAGTAGATCCTAAAGGGTTCTGACGATGGCGTATAAAACTCAGAATTCCTGGATTTGGGGGCTTTGTCCATCGTCCTGTATTCGAAAGACTAGAGAACACAACGTTTCGGAAACTGCGTCTGTTTCCGTCCTCAGGTGAGGGAGACATATCTACTCTGTTGGGTCCCCCAAGTGATTGAGGTTAGTGCTTTCTAAGGGGCCCAACAGAGTAGGTGTCTCCCCCCAGTGATTGTGGTTATCTCTTTCTGCCGCTTTCTCAGTTCTTTAGCCTATAGACAGTCGGTGGGACTCCTTGAAAAGGGGATCAGCCATTCGCAAGGCCGCTTCCTACACAAACACAAAATAAACGCAGATAGATATCCATGCCTCTAGTGGGATTCGAACCCACAATCGCAGTGTTTAAGAGGGCGAAGAGAGTCCATGCCTTAGACCGCGCGGCAACTGTGATCGGTTTGTTTCTTAAGTACATTACGGTATCGTGTGTAGTTTCAAAATGAGTCGGGTCTCTGGAAGTGATAGATGCCGTGCGAGTGGGAAGGTAATCTGGCCCGATACCATTTCAGTACTAACGCCTTGGACTTCCTACATAACGGCTTACACGACGCCCCGGCTTAACGGAGCCGACAGTGCCTTGACAACTTTCGAAGTGTGACGTGTAATTCTTCTTACCGGTGTCGATCGGTAAGCCGTCCCTCTGCCCCCTTCACCTCTTACCGTCCCCACACACTGACTTAGTGTCTACAGCATCCAGAGCAAATCGCATTTCAGCCTGAATATGCAGGCGCTGCTGGAAACGAGAAACCTGTTGAATGAAGCACCCGTTTGTCACCCCTCGGATATCTCTCTCTTTTCAGTCCTTGTAGTACAGAGATCTGAGCCGGACTGCCTCGCTCCTGGTACTTAAATTCTTTTGCGGATTTTATATCATATTTATATTTATATTAAAACTGTTTTATTTAAGGTAGTCGGTTTCTGTAGGAGTATGAATTAAGAAAAGCTGAAAGTCAGTGACGCTTTCCAGGTATCTTGAAATACACGTAACGTTAGGTGAACTTGGCGTTATATTCAGTCACCGCAATAGCGCGTATAACTACACTCTATAGTGTGACATGGATAGCCACAGCGTTGCTAAGCAACGGCTCGGTAAAAACCTCAGCAGTAGAGAAACTGTTTTACATTTGGTCCTATGAACCGACGAGGAAAACACGCCTCTAAACAATAGAGGGGTTGTGTTCCATTTGCAGTCTGATAAGTTAGGGGTTTTAGTTAATCATGAACTGTTAACCAATTATTCATCTTCAATTTTATTTAGGCCTATATAGGCATTGGCGCCATTACCCTTTAACCTCCTCTCCACATAAACAGAGAAGATCGCTCAGACGTACACACATACCAAACCATCAAGATGCGTGACAAAAAAAATTCTCCCTTTTTTGTAACTGTTTTTACCTAAGACGCGTGATGGAAATGAACAGTAGATATAAGGCGGTAATTCTTGATTTATACAAGTCACGTGGCATTTATAAGGTAGTGAATTCTAGAAAGGCGTAATGGAGGAGTAAAGAAATGCTTACAGGTATTTAATGAGGAAAGCACACGAAAAGCGACCATTTGGACAATCGGCATGAGGATGGAAGGATAATATCTTGCTGGATATGAGGAAACACGTTGTGGAGTGGTTAGAGATACCTTAGGACAGCCGTGTCAAACATGCGGCCCCCATAGCCACAAAGTGCGGCCCTTCAACTTTTAGAGCTAATTGATATTAAAATTTTAGTAGAAATATTTTTTGTGAAGACAATTTTCCAACAGACCAGAAGACAAGAAGTCTCACACAGACATAAAGTAGCATGCTGCAGGAAAAGTGATTCTGAGAATTGCAGAAGGTTTTGTCCAACTAACGGTTTGTAAAGTTCGTGAGGACAAACTATTGTATTTCAGAAAGTTAATGCACTAAAATCCGCACAGCTTCACCACACCAAGTATTTCCAAGAATCCCTTTTGGAGGCGTAGTAAGAATGCAAGGAGGGTGTGCAACTGACAGACAAGTGCAAGGGATTTCTACCTTCAAAACTAGCTTGCACCCCCAGCCACTGTCTAATGGGCTGCTAGCAAACTTTCACTTTTATGACCATTGAGACAAGATACACCTTCCTACTAGTCCGGTAGTCTCTTGTACATTGTCATTCAGTTCATTTTCACACAGCGACAGGTGCTGATGTTACATTGAGATGAACGTATAAAGGTTATAATTAAATATTAAATTATCAGCTACGAGTTTTCTTGTATATGTACAGTAACTTTTAGAGGGCAATGTCGCTTTAAAAACATTAAAGTAGCAAAAAAAGAAATATTGAAAGTGAGCGCCATGTGTTTCAAGAAAAATGGGAAATCGCTTATTTCTGTTGTGAAATAGAAGGTAAAATTACATGTTTGATTTGTGGGTAAAATATAAGTGTTCCACTTTAGGTAATTATATTGAAATTATTCCTAAATAATAAATAGAATTAAATTTCCTTGTATCAAAATCTAATGTATATTTCTATTTTGAAGTGCTGCCCTGGACTATTATTTATAGGGCTGAGGTGGCCCTCTGTACAAGTTGAGTTTGACATGCCTGACTTAGGATCATTTTCAGTGGCTTTCTTTAGTTTTAGCTGAATATTAGCCTCTGCTTTTTTTGCTGCTGGAGGATCAACTCTTTACTATACTTAGTACATATAATTCTATCAAGTTTGTGTCTCTCTCGCATCCCCACAAACACACTTAATTTTCGCTGAAATAAATATTACACAAGTTCAAGTTCGATTATAGATATTTATTTGCCAGTTTAATAATACAGTGATATTACAGATATGTTAATCACAGGAATACAGAATACTACTTTATACTACTGAAGTATTTTCTATTTGCCAAGTTATTTACGTGAAGACTCTATTGGGATCGACGTTTGGCAGAATTTCAACCACGTAATCTCGTAGCTGGCTGCTTACGGCGTCGATTACATTATCGTTGAACAGGCCAATGACCCAACTTGAAATGTTAGATACCAGCCAGTCAAGAATTCCAAGCCCAGATACTTCAACGCTGATGTCACTGTCGAGAAACAATGTATATATATATTAAGACGTATATATAAGTTCTTTTTGCTGAGTTTATGTTCGGAGATAAAAATAATCGTGCTTCTAATATATTTTTTTTTGCAATTAGATGTGTATTTTTTATTGCTAGTGGGGTGGGACTAAGTCCCTTGTACTGCGGCTACTTCTGGCCTATTGTACAAGCCCCAGATGATAGGTGAGGGTGATTGTGGAGCAATTGGTGGAATGAAGATTGGCAAGGGAAACCGAAGTACTCGGAGAAAACCTGCCCCAGCGCCACTTTGTCCACCACAAATCCCACTTGACCAGACCCGGGATGGAACCCGGGGAGCCACGGTGGGAAGCCAGCGACTAACCACTTGAGTTATGGCGCGGTCTAATTAGATGTATATGTATGCAATATTATAGCAAGAATGCATGTAACAATTGTTTACGCATATCTCACAAATTGGTGGCTTGTGTGTTAATGCGAGTTCTCTGTGCCAATCATAATAAAAATCGTCACCTGGATACGGTGAGAGCTAAGATTTATTTTGTGTGTATAGAATATTCTACAGTATCTATATTGGCAACAGCACCAAATTGCTCGGTTTATTGTCGAAACGGACTGCATAAATATAGTTACACTTCGATGCCCGCCGGAATACGGAAATCTGCACTTTATGTACCAAATGTGATGCTGCTTTTTAGAAGGTACAAGCTGGAAACTTATGGAATTCAGTAACGTACTTACTCGGCACTCTCAATATATAGGTCATGGAGAGAGATGATTGGATTGGTGGACACGATAATGTCAACCTTCAGGAAGACTGAGTTGTGACCGACTTTTCCGTCCAAAGTGCCAGAAGGTCCGACGCCCTGGAATTCAGCCTCATATTTGTTGTAATGAACCTGTAAACAGAGAATTCATGATCTCATTTCGTATCACCACGGAACTCAAAACTGAATCAGTTCAATGAAACTAAAATCATTTTTATGGGTCAATCGTGTTTCTGGACTTCGGTCATGGCCTCATGTTCTGAAATTAGTTTAGAATTTCGGAATACTAGACGATGGATAAATTCCACCCGAGATATTTGTTAACCAATTGTAATCAATCTAATGTTATGTACTGTAGCTTTCTCATATGTATATATCCTTATTTTTATATATCCGAAATTTACATTCTTCCTTCAGGGTAAGAGAGTAAGCCCCAGAATAATACACAGGAACGGGTAGAACGCTACCTCAAGTATATTCCCATCTATATTTGATTTCTGAGAGCGAGGAATAATCAGTAGAATTTATGACACAACACTAATCTTTGAACTCTTTCTTAAATTTTAAATTAACCCTTTTTTAATTTTCCGGTGGTTTATAATAAATTCTGCACAATATTTAAGTTTATTATATTGTAGTATGTGTGTCTCATTCAGTATTTTTAGTTTTTATGTGTTGTTTGCACAATGTGCAAGAAACGAACACTCGTAGGGCTAATCGTGTCTCTCTGTCCACGTTTCCCTCGAGAGCCGTTAGATGGATTTTGATGGAATTTCCTGTGAGTATGTACTATTGAACGTCACAACAAACTCGGAATTATTAACTTTCTCTAATAAGTAGAACCAATGTGAAGTTCGAACTTATGAGGTGGAAGCGACACCAGCTCTGCTTAACGTAGAATCCTGGAACTGTGTCTAGTAACAAATCCTTTAGGAATATGTAGCTTCGTCGTAAAATGCAAGAGAACAAGATGACTACATTAATTTTCTAAGCGAATTTAGCTTTCGGCTTGAAAGCGATAACCAAACTAATCCTTTGGGTTAGGAATATGAAATTTGTAGGTCCTAACATTAATGAATATTCACAATAAAAATGTGCAAGGTAGTATTTAGAGACTGTGTTCTCGTACGGATGTCATATTTCCATTGCGATTGAAAACGTTATACTTTGTATAGTTAATGCATGCTCCATATGCACTGTTAAGGATAGGTACAACACCAACATAACATAAACCGTACCTTCCTTATAAATAGAAAGTTTTGTTTATTGCCTAATTGAGCAAAATATCATGAAGACTTACTGGGGGATTGGAGTTATAGCTCCACATATTTTGACCTTGGCACTAGGCCACTTTACCCCCGGGGAAATCTCCTCAGGTACCTTTTGGTTAGGGGGATCAGTGGGCCTCAGAACCTGTCTGGACGCTGTGGAGTAGAGAACAATCTTTCCCTGTCTTCAAATCGCATCTGGGTCGTCCAGCCCATCGCTATACCAACTGAGCTATTCCGAATCTTAACCTTGCTTGTAACAAGAGAAAAACAAGCAGCGTGGATATTGACTTACACGCAGTTCTGTCAGTCCCAAACTTCCGAACACTGTAACGCTGCCTTTATCAGCATCGTGAACCAAACTGACGTCTGATATCCTTGTGAGTGAGGCCAAGTTCCTGACCCGACCCTGAGTGGCTGTGAAGTGCCCGTGCCATGTGATCCACAGTATCTGAAATGGAGAGTCCGAAGCCATAAATTTGTTTTGCAGTCTGCGGCAAGCAAACCAGTTCTTCAGCCGATTTAGGGTAAAGTTAACTTACCTCCTTTGAGAAGCTAGCTGATAGGTCAGGAATGTCAATCTCATTCAGTTGGTTCTTGTCTACAAACTCGCGCAAACTTTGCAGCAGTAGGTCCACGTAATCGTTTCCTGCAACTCTGATAGCCCTTGCATGTGCCCTGCAAAGAAGGGAAGAAGTGAGATAGATAATTCAGCGGTCCCACTGTGTTCAGAAGGGATTACTTGTTAAACTGGAGATACTTCTCCACTAAAATAGTCCAGGAACTATTATGATATTAAATGCTATGATTTTGTTAAAGTGATTAATGTCACTATGTAAGGTAAAGCTATCCCTCTAACAGGCCGTGAAGGCCCATAGGATTTTTAGACATCGAGGCTCCCATATGTTCTCTATACAATCCAATCGGCTCACAGATGGCGGTGAGGTTGTCAGCCTTGCGCCCCCCCCCCCGGAAGATTCCTGATACTAATTTCTGTTAGAGGCTAAGTCGATCCCAGGGCCATAGTGCGGCTGTAAGGATTAGATAAATTGGAAAATCACATCATCGGGACTCGAACCCGCAACCATCCGGCTTGTAAGATAGTGCCTCAACCAACTACGCTATCATGTGCCCCACTGACTATGTACGAGATATTTCATTCCATCATGAATTAGAGGATAATGCTACAATTAATATTTAATCCATAAACTTGACTAAAAATCTTTTGAATATGTTGGTAGGTCGAGATTTTAAGCCTCAGCAATGTTTGACGCACAATTAAAGTAATTAATAACGGACGACTTGACTGGGACCTTAAAAGTGATATTTATCTAGTAGACCAGAAGATGCCAGAAGAGTGAGCAAAAAGTTCCTCTACATACACGGCTATTTAAATTCAAATTTTGAGACGAGTAGTTGCGAAATTCTGAAATATTTACGGAGGACTGGTTTCGTTATTGTTTTGTTGAAGCCATGAGAGTGGGGGGAAGTGAAGGTTACCTGTAGGAGCTTGCAGTTCTGGTTTCACGGATCAGTTCAGTCACTGGCATTGTCTGCAGGATGTCGTCGAGTCGCTTCTTCACGAGACGATTAAGCAGGTTCTTCAGCTCACGATTGATGCGGTCGACGACCTTGGCCTCTGAAATACCGATCACATTACACTCTTATGTGTAGGCCCATGCGCTGCGTATGTGTTGGTAGGATTCACGGAAATAATTCTATAGCACCCTTATGAAGCTTATGTCTAGGCCCATGCGCTGCGTATGTGTTGGTAGGATTCACGGAAATAATTCTATAGCACCCTTATAAAGCTTATGTCTAGGCCCATGCGCTGCATATTTATTGGTAGGATTCACGAAAATGACTTTATAGTTAGTTGGGCTGATGTAAACACTGGTTCAGTATCCACTGACAAAATTGAACTCGTGGTACGAAGTCTGCTGGACCTACGTCGTGTACTCGCGTTGGATGATACGGATAAAGCTGTTGGTCCTGCAGGATCCTCCAAACACTAGATTTTGATGTCCCCACAATCTTGGCAATGGCACGAGTGTTGGTGGATGGCTGTTCCTCTATGCAATGCAGTATGACATTAAGGTGCCAAGTTTAAACGAAATGATTTTAAATGCCGCCCCAGCGCTGCTATTTTACGTTTGTGGACATGGGTTCGTATCTTAGATTTATTCTATAGGGAACCCTCAGGACGCTCCTGAAGTATGGCACCAAACTCCTGGAACACTCTATATAGCCTATTATGCTACTTTTGTTGGCAGTTCACCATCAGTGAGATATTCTTTTTTATTAGGTGTAACATTGTCCCCGTTTTGACTTGCAATATGATAGATCCTTGCTTATAAATAAACAGCTACTTGGAAGTCCTTAATCTAAATCTGTTGTCCTGCATGAGGTTTTGTTGTAGAGTTTTTCTGCGACTTAAGTGATAGATTCATTTTGTAAGATTTGAGGCTTTCACGGCGGTGACTATGAAGAAAGCAGTCTTCTGGGATTTGGCACCGTGTATATGTGGTGTTAACCGATGTTTCGGAGGAACGTATCGCCTCCATCTTCAGGGTAGAAGAAAAAATATATAAGAAATCTGCAAGCAAAGAGACCATGAGAACCGGTAAAATTCATTTTGTTTAGACGGTAAGTTTTGTGCTTAACGGCGAACAGAGCGGTTGCTTTATTTAAGCGATGTCACTTGATATTAGTTTTCTTCACTGACAATTGTTGTCATATTGAAGAAAGAAAGAAAGAAAGAGCCCCCCTCCAGGATGAGAGAGCACGGTTCATGTATTTGTGTTGCGATACTAGTGTTAACTCTTGAGGAGTACCCAGAATTCTTTGCGCTTTAGAACATGAATAGTATGGATTTGAAGAAAATAGTGGAGCAAGTGGTACTGTGTGTCATTACAGGCAATGTGAAATACACGTAACACCTTACCATGCTTCCCTACGTCCAAGCCACTAACGATGCGCTTGTTGTCGCTTTCGTAACTGACCTAGAAATAGAAAAGTATTTGATCTGTAACTCAGAAATCGTACTGAAGATATGAGTGACTTAAGTATAATATTCGGTTATTTAGCATTTAGAAATAAATACATACACAGACGGGAATGCATGTAAAAGTAAAAGGAAAGTTGTCCTTGTGCTTAACTAATTAAGCACTACGCCATGAAGGCGTATGGGGAGTGGATGCACAGATCCTTGTTTTCTTTACCTCGGCACTAACTGGAGGTGAGTAGTCAGGTTCACGCCTCTGCCGCTTTATTCCGAGGAGAGAGTCCCCGGTACCCACTGGGTAGGAGGTTGGGTGGACCTTAGAACCGGTCTGGACCACATAGAGAAGTGAAAATCCTTGACCTTAACGGGACTCGAACTTCGACTCCTCAGTCGTCCAGCCCGTAGTCAGTCGCTATACCGACTACAGTAATATGTACGGTATTTAATAATAATAAAAATGATTACGAAACTGTAGAAGAGGCCAGGGCCCAACAAGGGGTTGTAGAGCCATTAACGATTGAATGCATGAACCCTGCTAATAACAGTAATCTTAGTAACACGAGCAGTATATTAGATTTGAGTCAGTGGGCTAAAATCGTCTCGGGCAGTAGTAAAAAATAAAAATAAATCTAATATGGCGTTGAAGTTAATTGAAAATTCACTGACCGAAAGGTATGATCCAATTGGATTATACAGGACATCGTAGTTGATGGTCTTGAAGGAATCTCCCTCAAGTGAGAGACCCACTTTCCCAGTCGCCTTGACGTCAGCATTTCTCAGACTGAAAGCGAAAGATTTTGTTGCTATGTGTTCCTGCAAAATTTACTGCCTTGCCTCTTGAGAATCATCAACAGTATATATATATATATATATATATATATATATATATATATAGGAAGCATTTAGCGTTACATTTACTGTCAGGAAAGTCACAATTCGTGTTTATACTGATTCGATTTAAGTTCTTGGAAATATAAGTAAAAAGAAATTTCTGATATATTTGCAGTGTGGCCTTAGTTTTATTCGTATGAGGGTAAATCACCTACGATCCATTTCCTGCAGTTACATGGTGATAACTGAGTCAGACAAGAAAGAAAGCAGGAAAGCAAGAGGAGAGTCGTTGAGCCTGCTTCTGCTTGTTTCTTGCCTGCCTCATATTTCGACCATGAAGATGGAGGTGGTATGTTCCTCCGAATCGTTGGGCTCTTTCTGAACTACACTGCGTTACAGTCCAGAAAAGCTTACCATTCAAGTGATTTGATATTTGTAAAATAAATTCTGTGGCTTTAGTCCGCAAGCAAAATAGACCGAGCGACCGCTGCTTGTCAGCGAAGTTAGTGCCAACTTTAGCGGAAAGAAGGTGTCTCGCGGTCAGCGCAATGAACCCCCACGGCAGTTAATTTCGATTTTCTAGACCGGAACCGCTACTATTCCATTCAAGTAGCTCCTCAGTTATCCTCACGAGGCTGAGTGGACCGTGTTCGAAACCCACTATTTCTAAACAAATCTGGTAGCGCCGGGAATTGAACCCAGGACTTTTGGATCTGTAGCCAGGAACTCTGACCACTACACCACAGAGGGGGGTCTTTCATATTTGTAATATAAAGCAAAATAAGCAGTTTAATTTTATGTCAGATTTTCAGTCCAGCTGTTTATGCTTAATACATTTTAACATACAGGCATATATTATTTTAAATATGTATTTTCGCGCATTCGAATAAAACATCGACTTTGAGGCTAATATACTTATACTTACGAAGTTTCTAGAGGTGTGGGATGTAGCGATTTGAAATCAATATTATTAACAATAGTAACACGTTTACTAAAGATATTTAAAAGCTGCTTTCGTATAATGGCAGACTTAACATGTAAGTCCAATATACGATTCGTATTTTTGCCTGAAGTTATAGCGTTTAAATAGATGTATATATAAGTAATTACAGGAGGTCCCCGGAGCTTGTGACTGGAAGCTCAGACAAGACGTTCTTGCTCGTAATATGGAATTTGCCCCCAATTTGGAGAGTACCCAGGTCGATGTCTAGACCCAAGTTCAGGAACTCGAGATCAGGTGTTGCCTCTGTGACGTCAGTAACTGGTGCGTTGATGAGCCTCAGGTTGGAAAGTTCTCTGTAACATTAACACTTACTTATTTACGGAGTCCGTTCCGCTTATGCCTTTACGGTGTCGAGTTTTTTTTTTCTATTTTGAGCATTTTACAGAAGGTAGGACTCCTTGGACGGGAATCAGCTCGTCGCAAGGCCTCTCTACCTAAACACAGGATAACACAAACACAGAATAAACACATACACATGCCAAACATCTATGCCTTGTGCGGGATTCGAACCCACAATCCAGGCTTCCGAGCGAGCGAAGACAGTTCATGCATTAGACCACTCGGCTACCGTGACCGGCGTAGCATCAGTTTTTCAAATTAATATTTTTTTTCCTTGGCACTACAGCCCCAGTGGGCCTAGGCCTACCTCCATAAACTTCTCCGTTCACTTCAGTTAGATCTTACACATTCGGTAGGACTCCTTGGGCCGGTGATCAGCTCGTCGCAAGGCTTCTACCTGTACACAAACACAGAAAAATGCACACACACAAACTAAACATCCATACTCTGAGTGGGATTCGAACCCACGATCCCGGTTTCCAAGCGAGCGAAGACAGTACATGCCTTAGATCGCTCGGCTACCATGACCGACCAAATTAATAAATACATACATTAAATACGAAGTACGTATCCAGCGCGTTCGTACGCTTTGGATTACAGTTACTTATGAACATTTACTCGTAGAACTTAGAATATTTTCGAGGTCACGGAATGTGAAACATAGGCTGTTATGAAATATTATGTTTCTGGACATCATCGTCCTGTTTTTAATTAAAAAGAGGACGTTTCGGAGACTGGATTCTGTCTCCTTTTTTCAGGTGAAACCTACTCCGTTGGTCCCAATGGATATCTCATCCGGAGATAGAGACTAGATTTATCAGTTGGGCCCAACTGAAGTTTAACCTGAAGAAGGAGAGAGTATCTAGAGGAGAAACGATTAATTTTTAAATAAATTAGGACGATCGATAATATCCAGACACATAATATATCATCTTAACAAACCTTCAGTTCTTGCAGTCTAATATCGTTTAGAATTTAAAAATTGAATTTTGAGGTTTATGATATTCTTTCTGATAATATGTACTTAATAATGCAAAATAAAAATGAGGTAGGAGTAGACGGATAAGATAGAAAACTTACACAGAGATGTCATCATCGATTTCAAGGAAGATGTTGCTAAGTTCCAGATCTTCTTCTGTGGGGATCGTGTGATACAGCTTTGCATTCTGTAAGTGAACACATTATACAGTCGTCTACCAACAGGATGAAACAGGTNACTGGTGCTCGCTATCAGCCCCATTCTGCCAGCGAGGCCGGTCCTCTTCTGGCAGTGGTACCCAATACTTCCCCATCTACCGCAGGCATTGGAAACTACTTGGATGGGAAATTTTGCTTAATTTTTCTCATAGGTCTCCTAGAGACATGAGGATCTTTTACGTGCCGTAAATCTACGACACGGGATCCACGGCTTAAAGTCCCTCCTGGAGGACTTGTTCCCTGAATTTTTCCGCCCTTAAAAATTCAACGACCTCCGCCGGGTTTGAACCCGCGTACCTTTACTGAGTTTAGTATGGATAAAGATGAGAAGACAATCGTGTGACGTTAATAGATATGAACCTAGAAAGGGCGTTCTTAACCGTTCAGTCACGATAGTCGGTTATTAAGCGATACATTTCCATCAACTTGGCCCATATATATTGTTTCCTCTTTAGTTCGTTGGTTAAGAACATGATTCTGGAGCTTGAGTTAATGAGCCATCATATGAACCACTAGAACGGTCATGTACTGTTATTAACAGAGAACAGCAAGGTAATAGTTGCGTTTTGTTTAAAGCATTGTTCATCATTAGCAAGAACGAAATAAGGAACATCTTGGAAGCACAGTTTTCAACCGGAAACCTAAGGATTTTCATGCAGTGTAGGAATTGAACAGCCGAACTCTGGAGCTTGGAGATGATAAGGTTATTTAGTATGGAAGGAGAGAGGTACTTTTATCAAGGTACGCAGTAGGCTGAAGAGACTTGCTTAGCTCTCTGTTTGAGGAAGGCTGTTCAACCTAACTGAGGGCGGATTCACTATGAAAGGCCTTGAAGCTTAACGTGATGACGAAAATACGATTACAGGCTAGATTTACTGTGTGGTAATGTATGTGGATAATATACCTTATGGAGTGTGGAGGAGACTGAGATCTCGGCTTTCTTCACTGCGTTCTCCAGTTCAGCACTCAGAACTGAAACCAGATGACCTCATGTATTTGCTGTTAAAGCGCTGGTGAAAGAATCAAAGAAGTACGCATAGGAAAATAAACATTAGAGCGGTTATTGTTAGAATTTCCAAAGTGAAGAGACCATTAACAAACGTTGCAAATTAGAACCAGAAGAGTGATCGGAAGGATGGAAACGACATTTATATATTCACGGGTCATTATTATCCAGTTTAGATTGTGATAGATCTATAGAACTGAAAAAAAAATCCGACTGTGCCTGGACAGAGTTCTTAATATTTACCAAGATGCGGCAAGACTTTCCTTGCTCCCGGAGCTGGTTTGGTAAGTTCATTATCTGTCCCTGGAAGTGGTTGTGGTTGTATAAGATCACCGCCAGGACCAGGTTTGATGAGTTCGCCGCCGGTACCAGGAAGAGGCTTGATGAGTTCTCCGCCGGTTCCAGGAAGGGGCTTGATAAGATCTCCTCCGGTGCCAGGAAGGGGCTTGATAAGTTCTCCTCCGGTGCCAGGAAGGGGTTTGATGAGTTCACCACCGGTGCCAGGAAGGGGCTTGATGAGTTCTTCGTCTGTGCCAGGAAGGGGTTTAATCAATTCGCCGCCGGTGCCAGGAAGGGGTTTGATTAGTTCTCCGCCGGTGCCAGGAAGAGGCTTGATAAGTTCTCCTCCGGTGCCAGGAAGGGGTTTGATGAGTTCACCGCCGGTGCCTGGAAGGGGCTTGATGAGTTCTTCGTCTGTGCCAGGAAGGGGTTTGATCAATTCTCCGCCGGTGCCAGGAAGAGGTTTGATTAGTTCTCCGCCGGTGCCAGGAAGGGGCTTGATGAGTTCTTCGTCTGTGCCAGGAAGGGGTTTGATCAATTCTCCGCCGGTGCCAGGAAGAGGCTTGATGAGTTCTCCGCCGGTGCCAGGAAGGGGCTTGATGAGTTCTTCGTCTGTGCCAGGAAGGGGTTTGATTAGTTCTCCGCCGGTGCCCGGTAGGGGCTTGATGAGTTCTTCGTCTGTGCCAGGAAGGGGTTTGATCAATTCTCCGCCGGTGCCAGGAAGAGGCTTGATGAGTTCTCCGCCGGTGCCAGGAAGGGGCTTGATGAGTTCTTCGTCTGTGCCAGGAAGGGGTTTGATCAATTCTCCGCCGGTGCCAGGAAGAGGTTTGATTAGTTCTCCGCCGGTGCCAGGAAGGGGCTTGATGAGTTCTTCGTCTGTGCCAGGAAGGGGTTTGATCAATTCTCCGCCGGTGCCAGGAAGAGGTTTGATTAGTTCTCCGCCGGTGCCAGGAAGGGGCTTGATGAGTTCTTCGTCTGTGCCAGGAAGGGGTTTGATCAATTCTCCGCCGGTGCCAGGAAGGGGTTTGATTAGTTCTCCGCCGGTGCCAGGAAGGGGCTTGATGAGTTCTTCATCTGTGCCAGGAAGGGGTTTGATCAATTCTCCGCCGGTGCCAGGAAGAGGCTTGATGAGTTCTCCTCCGGTGCCAGGAAGGGGCTTGATGAGTTCTTCGTCTGTTCCAGGAAGGGGTTTGATCAATTCTCCGCCGGTGCCAGGAAGGGGTTTGATAAGTTCACCGCCGGTTCCAGGAAGAGGTTTGATAAGTTCTCCGCCGGTTCCTGGAAGTGGTTTGATGAGTTCATTGTCTTCTCCCGGAGCTGGTTTGATTAGACCGCTCTCACCCCCTGGAGCCGGTTTGATTAGTTCATTCTCACCGCCTGGAGCCGGTTTGATTAGTTCATTCTCACCGCCTGGAGCCGGTTTGATTAGTTCATTCTCACCTCCTGGAGCCGGTTTGATTAGTTCACTCTCACCCCCCGGAGCTGGTTTAATGAGTTCATTCTCACCTCCCGGAGCCGGTTTGATTAGTTCACTCTCACCCCCCGGAGCTGGTTTAATGAGTTCATTCTCACCTCCCGGAGCCGGTTTGATTAGTTCACTCTCACCCCCCGGAGCTGGTTTAACGAGTTCATTCTCACCGCCTGGAGCCGGTTTGATTAGTTCATTCTCACCTCCCGGAGCCGGTTTGATTAGTTCATCGCCTGCTTCTGATCCAGGAGCTGGATTTATAAGGACATCCTCTGTTCCTGGAGCCGGTCTTGTGAGGGAACCGCCTGCTCCCGGAGCCGGTTTCAGAAGTTCGTTGTCTGTTTCTGGTATCGGTTTCGTAAGTTCAGTGTCTGGTGCAGGCTGAGGTTTGATATGTTCAGCCGCTGTTCCTGGAGATGGTTTGATAAGTCCAGCCTCTGCCCCCAGAAATAGGGCCACGGCCGCGATAATTATCGCTTGCCTCTTCATTTTCTCGTAGGTTCAGTGCCACCTGATTTAGGTCTGCCTGCATAAGGAAAACAGATAGTTTGCAGTGTAATCTTATTCAGATACTTGAGAACCGCCATTTATGTTCCGCCTCCCTTAGTCCGTCTGTATGTCCAGAGAACACGTCAAAGTGTTTCTATTCAAGGTAGTATTCAACATAAATTTGTAATACTCTTCAGTAAATTTTGTTGGAGGCGGTTAGTGACGAAGTAACAGAAAAACTTCTGTGCTTGTTTGAGCACATCTCGCTAAATATTTAGATGAATAAGTGTATTCTGAAGATTAATTGCATTAATGACCCATTTATGGCCCAACAAAGTTTCAGTGTGTATCTTAAAAATTTTTCAGATTGATAAGGTTGGTGGAGTTACGATTTTTTTTAACTGTATTTTCATTGACAAACCATTGTGTGCGAGTACAATGACAGGTAGGAAGTAACCCTTGGCCGCGGTAAGAAGAAAGTGAACAAAGCGTGAAACAAAAAATGAGATGATTGACTTTGGACTGTGATGAAACCATTTTTGTTTAATTCTTTTAATCTGCTACATTTTCCCAATGGCCGTTTGAAAGACATACGATATAGTTACTAGGTATTTTGTGAGTATTTAGTTTATATCGATCTTGTATTGACAATAAAAGTAATTAAGTCTGATTTCTTGCCCATTTAATAGGTGTATACAATTTTAATTTCTCTCAAATTTCAGTATCATTATGTCGCAGTGAAGAGTTGCTTTTGAATTTAATATTTATTTATTGTTACAAATGTGTTCGTTATAATCTTATTCGATTTATTTTTTTCCTGCAGAATACGTCAGTTAAGTGTACATATGATTTTATATAGCTTCTATAAAATAGAGCTGAAATATCTTTGGAGAGGAGAACAATTTTCATTATAAATTAATTATGTCCAATATTAAAATATTGCCACATAATGAATTTTAATTAAACTAATTTTTGAAGACTGTCTTCGGATTTCATAAAGTGTTAAAATTTACTTACGAAGAATTTGGAAAAGTAAATCTGAATAGCTCTCATTATGTTACCCATATTTTGAAATAGGAATATTTTCTTTCTAACGAACTTGGCGAGTTTTCCCTTGGTCTATTTATGCGACAGTTACTTAAAAGTCTTATATTTATAGGAACATTCACGATGATAAATATTTGAGACCCACATAACACTTCCATTGTATCTCCTATTGTTGCCTGCAATTGAAACTTGTTATGCCTACAGATACAAGTTCACTGGAAAGCTTTTGCGGATCGCGTCAAAGGGAAGAATCAGATATGTTGAATATGATTGTCTTTCAGAAAGAAGTCAGCTGGAGAGATCTTCCATCTAAATAGCCACTAAATATATATTTTTAGTAACTTGTATGGTTTGAGTTTCTCCCTACGGGTTTTACACTCCGTCACGTCCAGGGAAACTTTTTTTGTTTTTAGGCACCTTGCTGCATTTTATAATTTGTTATGGGTGCTGTATTTTTGCGTACATTGCTGTCCTCTATAAATTTCAGGAAGAAACTCACAGAAAAAGGAAACAAACTCCGTGGCCTCTAGTTCGCAAGAAAACTATAGCGACCGAGCAACCGCCGTTTGTCGGCGAAGTTAGTGCCAACTTTAGCGGATAGAGGGTGTCGCGTGGTCAGCGCAACGGATCCCCACGGCCGTTAATTTCGGTTTTCTAGACCGGAAACAGAACAAGGAAGCAAAACCAAATTTAATTTAACCAGTACTGGAGACGTGTCAGAAAATTCAAAGCCGTCTGGAAGTCAAAACACCTGAGTTTTGAAAGTGTCTGTCGTGGTTATTTACAAATATCCAATAATTGCTCTTGATGTTTGTCGTTAATTAAATTTGCCCTGAGTATTTCTAAATTAATAGCAAGTAGAAAGCGAGTCTTACCTTTTTTCTGCTGCTTCTCTGTTCCTGTCTCCTCGAAGTCTGATGCTACTGCCTAGTGGCTGTTATTTATATATAGCGAGGGTAGCGGGTCTGTTTGGTAATATTTTCACTATTAAATTGACATGTTCCATAAATTATACTTAAGGCTTGTCTTAATACAATTGTAATTATATTTTCATTATCGGCTGATAAAATAACGCTTTTGAAAAGATAAAGAAGATTTAAAGATTTGTTCTTATAAAATGAAAGTAATCTTAACTCTATAACCTAAGATTAATTACGTCTGATCCTATGAAGGACTGTGTAGGCTGATTGATAAGGGGCTAGACAGTGGATCTTGAGGACACGTTGAAATCAACGAAAAATATGTATACAGGAATCATATTTGTTACAGGCAATCTAACTGAAGGAAAGCAATTCATCACTGGAATTAAATGCCGATACAGCAAAGAATAGAACGAGATGGAGCAACACAGGTTAAATGCTTGGTTAACTAAACTATATTGATGGGGTTTTAAGTAGCAATATCGTTGCTACTACAGATAAATTAAAAAAATAATGAACTGTCCGGAAAGAATATGTCCGTAATCGATTGTAGGCATCGCGCCAAGAAATCAATTTTATGGCCAAAAACTTAACGATTTCTATCGTAACAATGAACAAATTCTTAGATATACTGACAGGGTGCACCGCCTCCTGGCTACAGATCCAGAAGTTCGGGTTCGATTCCCAGCGCTACCAGATTTTCTGAGAAGTAGTGGATCTAGAACGGGGTCCACTCAGCCTCGTGAGGATAATTGAGGAGCTATTTCAAAGAAATAGCGGCTCCGGTCTAGAAAGCCGAAAGTAACAGCCGTGGGGATCCGTTATGCTGACCATGCGACACCCTCTATCCGCTAAAGTTGGCACTAATTTCGCCGACGAGTGATGGTCGCTCGGTCGGTATAGTTTGCTTGCAGACTAAAATCACGGAGTTTGTTCTGTTTGTTTGTTTGCATTGACAGGTTGACAGTTACCGAAATGTACGTTCTGTACGCTACGATGATGATGAAAAACGTTCCCCTCGGGAGTTTTACGTCATACGTTTTTCTTTTTGTTTCTCTAACGGATTAGGACCTCTGGTCTGTTCCTACTTCAACATTAATCTGAAGAGAGTGGATTTCACAGACAGTTGGTAAGACCCGCTACTTGTAATGGACGAACATAATCCAAGCTTTGAATGGATTGGAATCCACGATTAAAGTGTACAAGCTGGCGAAGACCACACGACCACTGTGATTGGTCCGTTTCTTTCGGCATTCCTGGTCCAACAGCACTTCGGAAGCCTTGTCTCGCCTATCGGACGTTTTTGCATCTAGTTCCGCAAGATGCATATTAGTTGTATGTTGTCTGTTTCGAGCTGTTAATTTGTGTACACGCTAAATAAAGAGCTTCATCCGTATTCAGAGGTCCACATTTTCCAGCGACATGGCTCTAATACCACCCGCATCACTTCTATAGCTTCCTCAACTTTTATTACTGTCTCATTCCATGAACCTCTCCACAGTGTGCACTCCTACTTTGTGTCCAATTTTATTTAATATTTGATTTTGTGTTTAGTGAAATCGATATTACACAATTGGTATAATGAAGGGGCTACGGACTACACGCCCGGGGTTCGATTACCGGCAAGTGCAAGGAATGTTTCTCTATTCTACAGCGTCCAAACAGACACTGGGGCCCTCGCAGCCTCGTATCCAATGGTTATCGAGGTATATTCCCCATGGATAAAGCAGCGGAGATCATGAATTGTGGATTTATACCTCCAATTCCGCATACGTCTTCATGGCGTGGTGCTTAATTTATTACGCACAGGGAGAACCTTTCATTTTACCTCTTTGTATATGGCAGAAAAAAAGAGAAATTGGTTAGATACTTATGAGCGTCAACAAGGCTGTAGATCCACGAACCCTCGCTTCCTCTTGAACTCTTGTTTTTGCTGTCTGTGGTTTTGCCATTACTTTTCCGAAATATGACCCACGCGGGCAGCTTAGAATTTGCTTCATTATCTGTAAGACTTGTGTAATTTCATGTAATAGGTCTGCACCATGACAGTTATAGGCATATTATTTCGACTATGGGGTCGCTTGGACTTAACAGAAGGTATATTGGGCGGTATAGTTCGCTTGCGGACTACAGGGCACGGAGTTCTTTTTTATAAACAAACAGAATTTATTCAACTGTGCCTATGGTCTTTATTAACACACTAATTCGAGCACTAATATGTACTGTAGTCGTACTACGTACATACTGGAATGTGGATGGTCAGAGCGTTGCTAGGTAACGCACCCTGAGATGCACGCACGCAACAATGAAACAGTGAGGTTACGCAATCTGCTTCTCCGCAACGGATCGGAAAACACACTTCGCGTAGGTGCAATGATGTCACACTCCAACAGTGATAGTTACCACGTAACTTGCTTTCGGTGTTGTCCATGCGGTGTCAAAACAAAGTGGCCTCCATCTTCAGGGTCGAGGATGCACTGGGAAGGGCCAGCAGCATATACGAAAGACAGACCAGTTCTCTCGTCATAGAGGGCGCCCCACAAAAACAAGACCGTAACTGTCCAACAATAATAAATATGTGGTCATGAGCCCCATATGTGGCTCGACATCAAGATTTACTGACTGACCGTCAGTCGCAATGTGACTTTGACTTTGAGGGTCGAAGAATACCCGTGTGGAGGCTAGTTGCGCTTCAAGCTGCAGTCAGACGATGTTTCATTCTGTCAGCAAATAGGAAACCATTATATTTGAAGATACATACAAACGTTTTTTTTTCTTGGCACTTCTAAAAAAAGTTATTGAAGGAAAGATAGAGGGGCGGATAGAAGTGACCAGAAGACGTAAGAAGATTCTGGATGACCTTGAGGACAGAAGAGGATATTTTCATTTGAAGGAGAAAGCTCTAGATCGCATCAAATGGAGGAACTGTTTTGGAAGAGACTGTGGACCTGTCGTCTTGATAGATTACAGATGAATGAATGACTACAGCCCCAGTGGGCCTAGGCCTACCTCCATGAACTTCTCCGTTCACTTCGGTTTTTCTAGATCTTACACATTTGGTAGGACTCCTTGGGTGGATGATCAGCTCGTCGCAAGGCCTCTACCTATACACAAACACAGAAAAACGCACACACACACAAACTAAACATCCATACCCTGAGTGGGATTCGAACCCACGATCCCGGTTTCAAAGCGAGCGAAGACAGTACATGCCACATACAGACTTTAGGGTTGGAAATACCAGAAACGGAACCATAATACAGTAAACCTTCGTTATAACGACCCCAGATATAACGGGAAAAATCTGGCTGTGTACAGTTGTGACTTTTTAGAGATGTTGAGGCACGAAGAAGGGTTTATAGTTACAAAACTATTTAAAATAAAAAAAACAACAGTATAAAACCTGTATATATTCACATTGTTTGTTTCTGTGAACCGCCTCTGTGGTCTAGTGGTCAGAGTTCCTGGCTACAGATCCAGATGTCCCGGGTTTGGTTCCCGGCGCTACCAGATTTTCTGAGGAGTAGTGGGTCTGGAACGGGGTCCACTCAGCCTTGTGAGGATAACTGAGGAGCTAGTTGAATGGAAAATTAGCGGCTCCGGTCTAGAAAACCCAAATTAACGGCCGTGCAACGGACGTCTAGGATAACTGACACAATGCCCCCCACCCTATTCAATCCATTATAACAATGGTGTGCTGTACGTTGTTTTGGTAGATGTTTAGGCGTTGGAATATTTTTAATTGAAAACAAGTTTTTCCTCCATCAAACAAAATATCAGTTTATGTCATACCATCCAGAAAATATACCAAATATTTACTCCAAACATGGTAGGAAAATGCATAGGATTTTGATTTTCCGTATAAAAAATGAAATCTATGTGTTCCCGCTGGTGACCCTGGAACTCCAGGGAACACGTGTCTTGGCTGGCTGGGCGAGGTAGCCAATAAGATGAGGCCTCTGGGAATATGCTGAATTGAAATCCACGACGCTAAATTACCGGGTGCTCCATAGCCTTGGGTGGCTAAATACTGGGACCCTGTGAATCCAGGGCGCCTGAATATGAAGAGAGGTTCTGATATACTGACAGCCTCATGTAGAAACGTGTATTCTTTATCCATTTAAAGCCCAGTGGTTGCTATACTCGTATGTGCCACTTGCTTTAACGCACTAAAAATCTGCATTCTGCTCTCAGAGTGTGTTTCGTACGGTTCTCGCAGTAGACAAGGATTGTTTCCCTAAACGGCATTGAACAGTCCGTTTTTGTAGGGGCGACGTAATACGTGTTATGTTCTAACTGCATGTTTGTGTTATTTAGAAGAAATTTAGTCTTTAAAGGGCTGAACACCTTTTCCATAAATGAAAATAGGCTTAAGTTATTACTGTCTGTCTGTCTGTCTGTCTGTCTCTCTCTCCTGCTTTAGTATGTGAACATCGTACTCTTTTGTTTCCCACAATCAGTACTGACAACATGGCGAGATGAGAAGATTTATGATCGCGAAATGGCTGCAAAATTTGGAAGCAATTTCTTAGTATAGTCTTAAGTTATATCCTTTAAGCTTATTAATTCTGCTTATCTCCTCGCCCTATCGAGGTGATAAATGACATTATTTGCACAATGCAGCTTATTATTTTTTTCATGCTGAACATACTTAAAAGAAAAGGGAGGCATGTAAGAATTGAGTTTACTGAAATGTCTCGTGATCTTCATGTAGAAGTGAATTCATTGAGTCGTATAATTCTTTATGGGTATCATTAATAAGTACATGTTGTATTCACTTGGTTTCAGAGTGTAGCTCTTGTATATGTGTATATTTTCTATGTACATATTTTGAAAAAGGTACACGCGGTAGCGTAATTGGTTGAGGGTTTATGCTACAAGTCGGAAGGTCGTGGGTTCAAATCCCGATGAGGTCATTGGATTTTTTTCAATTGACCTAATCCTTTCAGCCGCACTATGGCCCTGGGGTC